ACATTTACATTTAGTCATTTACATTACATTTAGACTCCTCTGTCTAAAGTGACTTACAGGTGAGGAGGCATTCAGTAGTTCAACAAAAGAGGCAGTATACGCACAAGAAGTGCTAATTAAAAACTTGCAACACCACACTGTAAAAAATGCAGGGTACCACACAAATAATTCAGGTTGTCCCAACACAAATTAAGTAACTTAACACTTTTGACAAATTTATATGGTTTGAATATAAAAAAATAAGTTGTCCCATTGAAATCTCAAGAGTTGTGTTGTTTTAGCTCATTTTAAATAACTAGTTTGAACAAGCAATATTAAAAAAATAAAAATTTTTGATTGCATATTCTACACAAAATGCTCAGTGGTGGAATAATACAGTACAACACGTCCACTTTATAAATGTCTTCACAGAAAAATCTGCAAAAAAATGAGGGCAAATCTTGTGCAAACCAATGAAAAGTAAAAAAAAAGCCATGATCACACAATGGCTCAAAGAAAATGACAGCAGACCCCCGTATTTTGAGACATAAAATACTGGTTGACTGTGGAAAATATTGTGGAAAATTATTGTTTATCCAAATTTGTATCCAATTAACCAAGCATAGTAGGTTTAGAGTGCTATAATATACAGATTTGTCAAAAACAGATCATACCATTTTTATGTCAGATTTTGATATTCACCAAGATCACTAACCAAGACCTTATGCCCTACCACTGTTACTTCTGTCAAACATGACCTGTATGTACATAAAAATATAAAAGGAAATATGTGAAAACTTTCTCACTGAACAAAGTACATTCAGTTTCAAAAGTCACTCAAAATGACCAACTAAAGAAACCAAAACTAAAGAAAATAGCAGCACCTTTCAGTCATTCCCCACCACGCATTCATGAAATATCTACCATACAATATCAGTCTGTTACTGGGTTTTTTTCAGTATGCTGCACAGAATGTCCATTGCTTTTTCAATGTAACTATTCTTGCAGACATGTTTCGCCATTGTGATTTGGTTTTGTGTCTTTTGCAGTATTTTGTGCATGAAACTACATAAAAAAGTGGCGCTCTCTAGTCAAAAGAAGTTCACAAAAAGAGCATTATGTGTAAATGTTTTACAACTAGCAATATTAGTTACTTAGTTAAGACTTTATTAATCCCAAAAGGAAATTTACGTCACAACAGAGCTCACCATAAAATAAATGATAAGAAAAACTGCATTCCGTAATACATCTCCTAATTTCAAGCAGCAAAGTAGACACTACTCCTAATTATCTAGTTAAAATTTGACATAAATCATATATTATGACATTGATTATAAAATCTAATAATTGATGTATCGTTCCCGGAGCTGAAATAATCTGAAAGAGCTCTCACTAGCTTGTTCATATAGGTGTAAGACATGAATGTGCACGTGCATGCCAGATAGCTAAATGTTTATATAGGTGTAAGGCACACAGTATATGTACACATATATGTGTAAGACTTATATGTGCTCATGTACTGTATGCCAGTATGTTCATATGCATGTATGTTCATAAATAGTTAAGAATCAGAATCATTAGCCCCCCTGAATTATTAGCCCCCCCCCCCTTATTTTTTCTCGCAATTTCTGTTTAACGGAGAGACAATATTTTCAACATGTCTTAACATAGTTTTAATACCTCATTTCTAATAACTGATTTATTTTATCTTTGCCATGATGACAGTAAATAATATTTGACTAGATATTTTTCAAGACACTTCTATACAGCTTAAAGTGACATTTAAAGGCTTAACTAGGTTAATTAGGTTAACTAGGCAGGTTAGGGTATTTAGACAAGTTATTGTATAACGATGGTGTTCTGTAGACTATTAAAAACTATAGCTTAAAGGGACTAATAATTTTGACCTTAAAATGGTTCATAAAAAAATTAAAACTGCTTTTATTCTAGCTGAAATAAAACCAATAAGACTTTCTCCAGAAGAAAAAAAATATTATCAGATATGCTGTGAAAGTTTCCTTGCTCTGTTAAACATCATTTGGGAATTATTTAAAAAAGAAGAAAAAAAAATCAAAGGGGGGCTAATAATTCTGTCTTGCACCTATCTTCTTACATGTGCACATATATGTCTTACATTTATATGAACATGTAGGTGTCTGTCATATATGTGCACATAGATGTTTTACACCTACATGTTTACATATGAGAACATGTAGCTGTCTGGCATACATGTGCACACGTATGTCTTACACCAGACACCTGCATGTTAATATAGGTGTAAGACCTGGTGTAGACAGGTGAAAGTGTGGTATCAGTAGTGTTGAGCCTTTTATTTTATTTTTAGTTTAGGCTGAAGATATTTATGTGCTGTAAGAGACAAATCTCTAATGAATTAATGATCATGGAATATCGTGGAATTTTAAAAGGTAAATTCCAGTCAAAATAATATTTTTTGTTGTCCAAGATATCAAATATAAGGAATTTTTGATTGTCATTTTAAATGTTACTTTCCAATTATAAAAATGATTTTTTATAATGTTTGTTTTATCATATTTTAGCCCCTTTTTTCAGTTTATAGCAATCAACCAGCAATCCCTCAAATGCAGTCAACAGACTGTTTTAATACTGTTTTTTGACCAGCTTGACTGTTGTTCTGTTCATTATAGGTCATGTAAAGTAAACACTTTAGTCCGTAGAAGTCAGGGAGAAGTCACAGAATTTGACATCTGGATTAGAATGTAAACCCTGCCTAAGAATACAGAAAGTAAGCTGATACAAACATACACAAACTCTTCTCTCCAATTGTTCTCCTGCCTCCATTTCCTTTCCCAAGTACTCAGCAAAAGATAAGCCCTGGTGCCGAACCCTATGGCCAGCTCATTAAAGTAGTTACAAGAATCTGGGCAGCTGCAAACTTGCTTTAGGAGATGGCAGTATTAAGTGGGTTGACAATTTAAATGTCAGTGTCAAGATGGCAGCTGAAATTGGTGCAGGCCACGTGTATAATTAGCAACGGCTAGAGGCTTAAAATCTTCCTTTTTGCTCATTTCACTTCTGTTACTTTCTTTCTTTCATTTTTTTTTTTTTTTTTTTGCTCTGGCCACCTCTGACTTGTGGTGACACTGCTGTCACAAAAGTGTGAGATGAATTAATGCAAGTCTGCTGATAAGCATGGCTTTTTGAAGAAGATGCGTGTGTAATAGCAAGAGATGTGTTCATTAATGTGAGAATAGACTTTTTGACTCCTCATTACAGATTCTGACCGACTGGAAGTTTGCCTGATCTAATCTCTTTTTAGCTAGTTTTCTTTCTCCTTAGTGATATAGAAGAAAAAATAAACCTTCAAAATCAGTGGTAAAATCCAATCATCATAACTTGCTCAAAAGCATTCAATAGAGTGGTGCAGGGATGATGTTAAATCCTTGAAGAATAATTTGCTGCAGTTTCTTGTAAGATTTTCCTGTTTTTGGTTTTTAATAGTTCTTTTCAGTTAACATAACTCAACTATAATTGAAAGTTGCTTATTAGAAACATTTTCAGTATGTCTAATTTAATTTGTAAAATCTAAAATATTGTCAAATTAGGTTTAACTCGTGTGTTATATTAACCATGCGTTTAAAAAACCAATAAAGCCTGCATTTACTCAGTTCTGATTTTTTCTTTCATGTTGCACAGATCGGATATGGCCCATGTGCGTATAAGCAGGAAAAAATCACATGGATTCTGATTTACTCAAATCAGATTCAGGCTTTTTTCATAGGTGGAAATTTATTCAATGTGAGTCAGATCTGTAGTGTAAGCAGATAGATCGGATTTTCGCCTGTTAATGCGAGTCGTATGTCATTAAAAACCACAGCGATTGATGTGAACTCTGACACTTTCGTTTTGGAACAGAGTTCCAAACCTTAAATCACATACACGAGGACTAAAAAAGCTTTTATATTGTCATATAGCACACAAGTATTTAAGCATGTTAATGAGGGGGAGAGAGAGCTAGACAACATCCACATACATACATAACATACATAACATGCAAAAATCATGCCATGGACATCACATTAAGATGACTACTGGTTTAAAAAGGCCTAGATTAAAAGAAGATGGGCAAATGAGAACTTTTCCGTAATAAACTATAATAAAATAACTTGTCAAAACGAATTTAAAAAAAAAAGAAACCTTGCTAAAAGATTGAAAAGTGTGCTCTTTATTATTAGCTGTCAGTCAGCGCCTGCTCTTTTTTTTTTCTTCTGGTCATTCCGTTTTTGCCGTAACAATACCTTTAGCTAATATTTTTCTTAATTTTTGCAAAGTAGCACAGTCACAAAACCTGTCTATATGGCTTTTTAATAGTTTATTTTATTTAAAATATATGATATTATATGTCATCTTATCTTATGGCCACAGCCATATCAACCTGCAGCCCAAGACCAGAAAACTAGGTTGATGTTGGAAATGGTGGTAGTGAGGCCAGCAGAGGATGCTCAACCTGCGGTCTGTGTGAGTCCTAATGCCTTAGTAAAGTGAAGGGGACACTATACTGTCAGCCAATAGCTGGTGTGTGGTGAGCACACTGGCAACGTTGTCCTGTGGCTGCCTTCGCATCATTAATATGGATGCTGCGCACTGGTGGTGGAGAGAGCCCCCCCCCCCCCACCCCACCCCACCCTTCCCTCGTGATTATGAAGAGCTTTAAATGTATGGCCATACAAAATAAATGTGCTTTGTAAATACAAATTATATTGCATTACATATCTTTTTTTGGTAAGAATAACAAACTGTTATTATTATTTTTTATTTATTTGTATTTTATCTTTTTTTTAAATTGTTTTTCCTTTTTTACTCCTGGAACATTAATACTTTTGCACTGGTTTTGAAACGCTCCCAGTCATATATATATACATATCCCTTAGGGGGAAAAAAAGAAGAAGATGACACGCTGTACATCACCAGTACAGTTGACACAAGTAAGACCAGACGCAGCTGAGATGTTGTTCTTCGTAGGTTCAGAACAGCTGTCATACCTTTCAGATGGATCTTATTTTCGGGGCTGTGCACTAAGACGGAGCTGACGGAATCCAGGCTGTCGTAGTTACTGCATCCAAGAGGCCCCGTTCTGGTCTCCGTCACCTAGGAAACAAGGAGGTATTTTAATGCCTTATTATCGCGGAAATCATGCACCTGTTTGTTCCTCTTCAGAAGTGCTGGAGTGCTGAGCATATGCAGTTGTCTAAAACAAACCATCATGCCTGTGCAATAAGCCCGAGTCAATATCTAAATGTCACCAAAGCTCATTTCAGCATGTCACAGCTCTTCCAAAAAGTGCTCACTTCGCAGAGCGCTATTGAAATAGTAAATTGACTCTGGTGTTCGGTCCCAATGCATTATTAATTTCAAATCTGGAACGCAGTGAGCCTTGTGCAGTTGTGTTAACGGACACTGCTGTTAAATATAAGGAGACGTTTTTGTTTCGAAAATAATGTGTCTGACCTGACATTTCAAGTGGGACTTTTGGTACTTGGATTCTTCAGGATGCTTTTATTTTCTTTATTTTTTGGAGCCGGATTAAAAAAATAAAAATAAAGAAAAAAAGAGGTTGCATGAATGAGAATCCCTTGTAATATGTTCTGTAAATTGGTGGATAAATACATTAAGCACACTAAAAACAACAAATAAACAATATCAAAACAATAATATTTCAACAAAAATTTGTAGATGCAGTATATAAAGGGTGTGTGTGTTTTTTTTTTTTTTTTGAGTTCAATTCTCAAAGTATCTGGATTAATGATTGATGTGTTTAAGTAAAACTCACATGCTTTATTCTCTTAATAACCTCATATGAACATGAATGTTATCAATTAGATTGTAGAGCATGATTCTGTAAAGATGTAAAAATTGTTTGTTTATTTTCAGTTTTTTCACTTTAAAAGAAATGAAAAGAATTTATTTGTGTTATTTGAGGTTTTTGCATCTAAACTCTTTTTTTGGAAAAAAAATATATTAGATTGTTTTCCAGTAAAATAAAAACATCTGTTATTCTGACCAACTGTAATTTTGTTATAAGAAAGCACTAAAATAGTATTTCTCAACCATGTTCTTGGAGGACCACCAGCTCAGCACATTGTCTATTGCTGCATCCCAATTCAGATACTATCCATCCTAAATTGTATTTGAAGTTTATTTCCGGTAAAAATTCGAACCTAGGGCGTCTTTTAAAAAAGAGAAAACGGGCATGGGACGGTAGAAGAAGTTAGTTGGCATGTTGATTTTGCCTGTAATAACAAATTTGTACATAAGATACATTGTTAATCCAGAGAAACTTGGTCCAGAGAAGTGGATTTCAAATGGTATATACTGTAGTGTTATATATAAACTACAAGACCTCTTGAAAATTTTCAGCTTCTCTCTCTCTCTACACTGTGTGTGTTTGAGTGACTGAATATGACTGACTGTGGTAATGTATGATCTATAGCAAATGCGTCTGACTAGGGTCATTTTTCATATCACTAATCATTTCACACTTGATGTTTATTTTACTCAGTTCATAAAAATCGTGTCTGTTCAAAAAAACTAACAACTCGAAAATCTGACAGCTGTTTAAAGTCGTAAATATTGCAAACTGTCACAACAACATATTTACGGATTCAAATTATGTATAAAACATGTTTACCATTACATTGTTAAATTAAAATGTAATTTTCTTCACAAATCTTAACAAATCTACTTTAATTATGGCAAAAACAAACTTCAAACTAAACATTGACACTTTTGACGAGATGTAAAAAATCTTAACCTAAGAAATTTCATTCATTCATTTACAAATTTTCCTTCAGCTTAGACCCTTTATTCATCAGGGGTAGCCACAGCGAAATGAACCGCCAACTCATCCAGCATATGTTTTACACAGCGGATGGCCTTCCAGCTGCAACCCAGTACTAAGAAACATTCATACAGTACACACTCATTCACAAGCACTACACTTCTATTCACCTATACCACATGTCTTTGGACTGTGGGGGAAACAGGAACACTCAGAGGAAACTCAAGCAAACACAGAGAGAACATGCAAACTCCAAACAGAAATGCCAACTGATCCAGTCGGGACTCAAACCAGTGTCCTATTGCTGTGAGGCAACAGTGTTTACCACTGAGCCACCGTGTCACCCCAACCTATGAGTTTTACTAAGTAAAATTATCTTTTTTGTGTGTAGCAGGGGCGTCCAAACATGGTCCTAGAGGGCCGATGTCCTGCATATTTCAGTTCCAACCGCAATTAAACTAAACTGAACCTGCTTATGAAGCTCTTTCTTGGAATACTAAAACTTCCAGGCAGGTGTGTTGAATGTAGTTGTACAGTAGCTAAACTATGCAGGACACCGGCCCTCCAGGACTGAGTTTGGATACCCCTGGTGTACAGTAATATAAGAAAAAAGAAACAACTGTATTACAGTAATAATAATAACATGGTGTGCTCATTTAATCAGTAGCCTAGGTTTTTTTGTTTGTAGTTCACCAGATATTTTTATAAGTATGTAATAGATCTATAGCTGTTTTCTGAAGAGTTTTTTTTTTTTTTATCAGTTAATCGCTCTAAAAACGCTGTTCAAATACAAGCTTGTTTCCTGAGGGTGTAAACTGCTCTGATATACCTGAAATTTCTTGCAAATATTTCACCAGCACAAGCCATATTCTTCTATCAAATTGCGCCCTACCGCTTTGGAGGCTGAGCTGCCGCCTCTGCTTTAACAGCAGTTGTCTCAAAATTTGTGATTTTACACACCATTGTCAGGTCTTTTCTTTAAATGAAACCGCTAATCCAACGCTAATCCCCTTCTGAAAAATGCAAAGCATTTAAAACCATGTCCTCATAACACCACAATCACCAGTTAGGATATTTGACTTGTAATTACTTTATTTTCTTTTAGTCTAATGAGTAACTTCTATTTTTGTGCTGCTAGAATATTTTCAGCAGATGTTAAGGTGATTTCTTTCTGATCCGTAATGTTTCTGTATAGATAGTTAAGGTGTTTGTGTACTGTATGTGCCACTGTGTTCAACGCTGCATGTTTGATGTACTGTAAACTGTCAGTCATTAATGTGTTTTTTTTCTCTTTCTAATTAACAGTCCTTCCTAACTGTCACCATTTATTACCACATCAGTTTAAACTCAATCAGGCCGGCGCTAAACTGTAAACACTCTCAAAACGTAGCGATTACATGAAGTCTGTATGATGCTGATGACAGTTTTAGTGGGAGGGCATCGACATTTATCATCATACGTACGGGTAAACACTTTATTATGAAGAGAACTGCCATCTCTTTTCTGAAAAGTCGCACACATGGCCTCCTCCGCACCTCATCCCACTGCAGCATCTCATTAGATCACTTGTCATTTATGATTGCTTACTGCAGCTCAATTGCTCTGATCCCAATAGGACTCCAGGCTGTTTACCTCACGCACAAAACCAGACACTAATCCGTGTAACCGTCTTCACAAAACACGCATTCTTCATGAAGAAATCATTTCAATAAATCCTCCTTTTCCCCCCCATCAAGAATGAGGTCTTATAAAACTGAAAAGCTTATGTTGTTGCAGTTGTATTTTAGCTCTCTTTGTGTGTTTTAAATCTGAATAAATGTAAATATTGGACACGAATAGCTTCAAAAGTCATATTTATGATCAGAAAACGAAGACATTTTGATTCCCGAGTTTCTGAGTTGAACAGGCCATCAATGTTATACATGGCAGAGGAGGGAAACAATACTGCAGTGACTGCTTTATTAGTTTTTTGCTGCAACTTTGATATGTCTTGCCATAAGTTTGTGTATATAAAAATAATTATTCGATGCATATTGTTTGCAATTTAAAATGTATCAAGGGCATTTTTTTAGAGAATTGGCAGCAACAACACATGCCTTATGGATGAGAAATGATCATGCCTAGCAGGCTATGTAAGAATATATTCAGTCGGTGGTCTGAAACCAGCAGATTTAGACTGGTCTGGATTGGTCTGCTCTTAAATAAATAGTGGGAAATAGCTTGCGCTGATCAGTGTCTTAACTAGACATATTATTTATTTATTCATTTTCTTTTCGGCTTAGTCTCTTTATTACATACACTATGGACAATTTATCCTACCCACTTCACCTATAGCACATGTCTTTGGACTTGTGGAGGAAACCGGAACACCTAGAGGAAACTCACGCGAACACTGGGAGAACATGCAAATTCCACACAGAAAAGCCAACTGACCTAACTGAGGCTTGAACCAGAAACCTTCTTGCTGTGAGACGATCGTGCTGCGCCTCACTAAAACCCATAATAGTTCATAGCATTTCTTAATATTATATAAAAAAAATAGATAATATAAATGTATAGGGTGACAATACATCTTTTTCCTGGACATGTAATCTTTTTGGGACTAGAATGTCTATATGGAAATTAAAATACACTGTAAAAAATATATCTGTAATAAAAAAAAATTTAAAAAAGTAAAATAACAGCTGTTAAATGACAGAAATTTACAGCAAAATAACAGACATTAACTGACAGAAATTTCCTTAAATATAAACGCAATACTGGTAATGCACTACTGTACCGGCATTACTTTTGACAGTAACTAATACTGCAATGCATTACTTTTTAAATATAGTAACTCTGTTATCGTTACAATATGATGCGTTTGTCTGCTTCTTGGTAAGTTAATTAATTTTGGCTGCAGTCTAGCCCACATCTTCTTGTTTACAGTGGCGACGGATTGTGGGTTTTGGTGGATGCCAACCAACCCGACTAAAGTCAAGCGAAAGCAGAGACAGAATGCACAGAAGGTACACTAAAGCAGGTCGCACACTAGAAGCGACACGGTGCGCACATGACAGTTTAAAGTATCACACACCAGACGCGCACATTCGAATGATATTTAACATGAAACTAATCAGATAGCGCTCTGTGGCGCGGCTAAAAAATTAACTGCGTCCTGAGCCGTGGATGGGCGCCGCCGACAGCCACGGACAGCCACCGACTTGCGGCGCCGGTGTGTGTATCCTGATAGAAACCTATGTTTAGAATTCCTAAATGCATGGCGCTGCGTGGTGCTGCACGGCATGCCGCCGAGCGGCGCTTCTGGTGT